AGAGAGAAAAGAGAGAGAGAGGAATTAAGCTTATCATTCACTGTCGCAATTTTAAATATCTTACTTAAAAAAAATAATAATTAATAAAGACCTTTGAATAAAATTATTAAGAAAGAATTAAATAAAACATTTCCAGGGTGTATGCCATGTTTACTTGGTTCTCAAAATCTCACATGGAATCTACAGGGTCGATGTCACGATGATGAATGTTAAGTTCAAGATACATATTACAAGTAAATGGCCATCCATGTTTTCACTTGATACAGTGATGCTTTTATTATTTTTTAATAAATTTCATGCCATATTATACATCATGCTATACCAGGAGCATCTGTATTAAAACAGTAGAAATAGGCCAGTGCAGTTCCTGATCGTATGTCATAATGTGAAATTAGGTCGGGTTAGACTAAAACACCAAAACGCCCGAAAATACGTCACAATTTCTTTCTGACTTTAATTTTATTCTGTGACCACATGAAATTTTCATATAGTATGTAAATTGTTTTAATCATTAAGTTATATTTTGTGCTATTTTAATAAAACACCCCCCACCCCCCCACCCCCCAAAAAACAACATAAAAATGTAACAAGATTATATACTCTGTATTAACTTTTTTCAATTTCAAAATGCTTCAATAGAGTTCATTTTATTTTATTATTTTACCTGGTATTTGATTAAAAGTAAAGTGTTATTATGTGTGCAATTAATATTTTATCGCCTCACCCCTTTTAAAACTTGTAGATAAATTCAAATAGTCTTTGAGCTTGACAGAATTTTTAACTTTTTGCACAAATTTATTAATGATAAGTAATCTACAATATATCCCAATATATTGCAATATTCATCATAAAATATTGCAATATATCGCAATATGGTTTTCACTCGCAATACCCAACTCTAGTGTAAAATAGGTGCCGCCCTATTGCCATCTAGGGGTGGGACGATACACGGATACATACTGATATTTTCTTCTATGATACGGTTTACGATACGTGCATTAAGATATTGGAACGAAATGATATACGAACGATCGACCTACGAAAGAATTGAAAATGAAAGTAGTTGTCCATGGAAAATGGTGGCTTGTACGAAACAAAGAGATGATATTAAATATTGATATTGAATACACCCTTAAGAACTAATAAATCTTAGATAAGGGGTAAATAATATAATTACTTTTAAGCATCCTCGAAGATTGGACAAGAAAAGTTCAGTATGTAAAGTGTTATACACAGAAAGTATCGTTTCCACAACAGTTGATATTATTGTTAGTCCATCTAATACCAACAGCTAATAACGAAGCATGGATTCTCTAATTTCAAGAATTTGAAATTTTGAAACAAATTGTGGATTATTTTTTTTTTGTAAACTTATAACGGTTAAAAACTTTCAGCAATTAGTAATAATCTACCTGCATGTTTTTTTTAAATAAATTTTTTGGTCAGTGTTCTTGTAATCAACTAAATGTTTATAGACATTTGTCAAATGAATATGTACAAGTTATTGCTTTTGTAAATTTCTAGTCAATGAAATTGATGAACTGCATGCAGGTATTAATTTCAAAGTGCATGATTTGATATATATGGAACATTTGTTGATTTAAAGTCAAAACAAAAAGCAAAATAAAATACAAAGTTTTTTAGCTCACCTGAGCTGAAGGCTCAAATGAGCTTTTCTGATCACATTTTTGTCTGTCGTCCGTCCGTCTGTCTAGCTGTCCGTCCGTCTAGCTGTCCGTCCGTCTGTAAAATTTTCACATTTTCGACTTTTTAGGTCACCTGAGTCACTCAGGTGACCTATTGCTATCCGTTTTTGTCCGTCGTCGTGCGTCATGTGTTAACATATGAACATTTTCAGCTTCTTCTCTGAAACCGCTGAACCAATTTCAACCAAATTTGGTATACAGCATCTATGGCTGAAGAAGAACAACAATTGTGAATTTCATGGTCCCTGCCCCCCTGGGGCCTGAGGGGTGGGGCCAAAACCACTAAAATTAATGAAATCTTTAAAAATCTTCTTCAGAGTCTTTACTCCTGGACATCAAGCAAGCAAACTGTTAGAATGAATGTAATGTCTATTGAGTCCTCCACCAAAATTGTGAAATTCATGGCCCCAGGGTCAGGGGTTCTAGTGCTAGGGCGGGGCTATAGATTATATAGTGAAAATGCATAAATTCTTGAAAAATCTTCTTCTCTGCTCCTGGGTATTAAATAAACTAACTAAGTACATAGTTATGATGAGCAAGAGTGCCTCTTCCAAAATAGTGAATTTTATGGCCCCAGGGTCAGGGGTTCTGGTGTTAGGGTGGGGCTATATAGATTATATAGTGAAAATTCATAAATTCTTGAAGAATCTTCTTCTCTGCTCCTGGGTATTAAATAAACTAACTAAGTACATAGTTATGATGAGCAAGAGTGCCTCTTTCAAAATTGTGAATTTTATGGCCCCAGGGTCAGGGGTTCTGGTGTTAGGGTGGGGCTATATAGATTATATAGTGAAAATACATGAATTCTTTGAAAATCTTCTTCTCTGCTCCTGGGTATTAAATAAACTAACTAAGTACATAGTTATAATGAGCAAGAGTGCCTCTTCCAAAATTTTGAATTTTATGGCCCCAGGGTCAGGGGTTCTGATGTTAGGGTGGGGCTCTATTGATGATAAAGTGAAAATGCATTAATTCTTTCGAAAATTTTCTTCTCTGCTCCTGGGTATTAAATAAACTAACTAAAGTACATAGTTATGATGAGCAAGAGTGCCTCTTTCAAAATTGTGAATTTCATGGCCCCTGTGTCAGACGTTTTGCCATTTGGTATAGGGGGGGGCTCTTTTGATTATATAGTAAAAATACATTAATTCTTTGAAAATCTTTTTCTTTGCTCCTGGGTATTATGCTGATGATCCAAGTATATATATTTATGATGAAGAAAGTTGCATCTAGCAAAATGGTTCATTTCATGCCCACTGGGTCAGAGGTATCGGAAAAGGGGGGGGGGGGGGGGGGTTACATAGTCTAAAAATAAATTAATGCTTTGAAATCTGCTATTTGGTATTTATCAACCATTTATGATGAAATAAAATTTATGATAAAATTTCCAAAATTTTGAAATATGTGGCTCCAGGGGCAGTGGTTCTTTTGGGGTGGGGTGCACAACTGGTTATAAAGTGGAAGTGCATTTTCTCTTTATTACTCTGATCTACCTATGGGTATTAAGTAAATCGTGTAAGCATGCCAAGTTTATAATTATGATAAGCAATGATGTCTCTTTCAAAATTGTGAATTTCATGGCCTATAGTTTAAAACACGAACCAAAATCAATTGTTGGAAAGTTGTTACATGCTACTCAGGTGACCTATAAGGCCTGTGGGCCTCTTGTTCTCATGAACCAATGGGCCAATTTTAACCAACTTGGTAAAGCATCCTTGGGTAAAGGGGAGTTTAAATTGTTAAAATGAAGGGCCAAGTCCTCTTACAAGGGGAGATAATCAAGAAAAGACAAAAATAGGGTGGAGTCACTAAAAAATCTTCTTCTCAAGAACCACTGGGCCTGAAAATCTGAAACTTATGTGGAAGCATCCTGGGGTAGTGTAGATTCTAAATTGTTCAAATCATGACCCCTGGGGGTAGGGCGGGGCCACAATAGGGAAATTATTTTAGTTTTACATAGAAATATGTAGGACAAAACTTTAAAAATCTTCTTCTCAAGAATGACTGGGCCAGGAAAGCTGAAGCTTATGTGGAAGCATCCTTGGGTAGTGTAGATATTAGATTCTTAAAATCATGACCCCCGGGGGTAGGGCGGGGCCACAATAGGGAATCCAAGTTTTACATAAAAATATATAGAACAATTCTTTAAAAATCTTCTTCTCAACAACCACTGGGCCTGAAAATCTGAAACTTATGTGGAAGCATCCTGGGGTAGTGTAGATTCTAAATTGTTCAAATCATGACCCCTGGGGGTAGGGCGGGGCCACAATAGGGAAATTATTTTAGTTTTACATAGAAATATGTAGGACAAAACTTTAAAAATCTTCTTCTCAAGAATGACTGGGCCAGGAAAGCTGAAGCTTATGTGGAAGCATCCTTGGGTAGTGTAGATATTAGATTCTTAAAATCATGACCCCCGGGGGTAGGGCGGGGCCACAATAGGGAATCCAAGTTTTACATAAAAATATATAGAACAATTCTTTAAAAATCTTCTTCTCAACAACCACTGGGCCTGAAAATCTGAAACTTATGTGGAAGCATCCTGGGGTAGTGTAGATTCTAAATTGTTCAAATCATGACCCCTGGGGGTAGGGCGGGGCCACAATAGGGAAATTAAGTTTTACATAGAAATATGTAGGACAAAACTTTAAAAATCTTCTTCTCAAGAACGACTCGGCCAGAAAAGCTGAAACTTATGTGGTAGCATCCTGGGGTAGTGTAGATTCTAAATTGTTCAAGTCATGACCCCCGGGGGTAGGGTGGGGCCACAATAGGGAAATTAAATTTTACATAGAAATATGTAGGAAAAAACTTTAAAAATCTTCTCAAGAACGACTGGGCCAGAAAAGCTGAAACTTACGTGGTAGCATTCTGGGGTAGTGTAGATTCTAAATTGTTCAAATCATGACCCCCAGGGTAGGACAGGGCTACAATAGGGAATCCAAGTTTTACATTGAAATATGTAGGAAAAAACTTTAAAAATCTTTTTCTCAAGAACCACTTGGCCTGAAAATCTGAAACTTATGTGGAAGCATCCTGGGGTAGTGTAGAATCTAAATTGTTCAAGTCATGAAAAATTGTCTGGATACTGAAGCATCCGGATTTCTGGTGTCTGGATATCTGAAGGTCCACTGTATATGCTAAAAAAAATATTTTAAAGCATTGGGGAATTAAAACTAGTAAGCATCAATTCATCATAATAATTTAAGTGTTTGCTATAAGGGTGTTTTAGGTATATATTGAAATTCAAGGAAATTTAGACTTTGTTTTGCAATAAAGTTTTAATTATTATAGAATGGAGCCTAGACGATCTACTCGAGTTCGCCAGCGCCCCCGGTGGTTCACCGACTACGTCGTGGACTTTCCTGTAAGTGATTTAAATAATATTTATTTAAATGAAAATTCTGTTTAATAAACAATGAAAACAGCTTGTGGCTACATATTGATATGGTAGTCATCATGTAAGAATCACACATCAATCACATCACTGCGCATTATGCACTACAATAAAAATTGATTGGTTTAATTCGATCAAGTTCACTTTCAAAAATCTAGGTCTTTTAGGAATTCACAATATTAATAATTTAATATATCTTGCATTATTAGTTTGCATTATTGGTAATACTGACCGTATATTTTTAAGTGGCTGTGAAATGGTTTATTATCGGTTGTAGATAGGGATATATCACGATTTTTTCTCAAAATATCACAATAATATGATATTTTTACAATCAATCTGTACAATGATTTAAAATGAATAAGCATTATTTTTCTTTTAAATATGATTGAAAAACAAAATTTCAATTTTTTGAAGTTTTTATATTCATAAAATTAATCATGTATGGATGGTTCTTTTCACCTTTTACAATATTCTTTTAGACTTTCTTCAATTGTGATTTGAAAGATTGAACAAATATTTTTAATGAATAATTTCTGAACTTAATAATATGTACCTATAAATACCGGTATTTAGGTCTCCGTATCACGATAGGTATCATGCAACAAAAAAATTGTGATATACTGGTATACCGATAAAATCTCACATCCCTAGTTGTAGACTATGCCAAACACCCAAGCTGTCATACCAATTAAGGTATTATATAGATACCCAATATGAGCTTGGGATTAATCAAGAAGTACCATGTTTTAGAAGGTGTAAATAGCCATGTTTAAGAATTTGTGAAGTCACGATGCCAGGTTTGTTCAGTGAACCAGAAAATTCATTCACTTTGAGATAAGCAAGGTAAAATTAGGATTTGAGACCTTGAAATTATATGCTTCATCATAAGCAGAGTATTCGAGATCACAGCGTTGGAAGTATCAGGAGTTTTTAGCTCACCTGTGCCGAAGGTTCAAGTGAGCTTTTCTGATCACATTTTGTCCGTCGTCCATCTGTCTGTATGTCCGTCTGTAAACTTCTCACATTATTGGCTACTATTCAAGAAGTACTAAGCCAAATTTTATCAAACTTGGTACAAAGCATCCTTGGGTGAAGGGGAATTAAAATTGTTAAAATGAAGGGCCAAGTCCCCTCACAAGGGGATATAATCAAGAAAAGACAAAAATAGGGTGGGGTCATTAAAAAATCTTCTCAGGAACCACTTGGCCAGAAAAGTTGAAACTTATATGAAAGCATCCTGGGGTAGTGTAGATTTTAAATTGTTCAAATCATGACCCCTGGGGGTAGGGCTGGGCCACAATGGGAAATCAAAAGTTTAACATAGAAATATATAGGAAAAATCTTTGAAAATTTTCTTCTCAAGAACCACAGGGCCAGAAAAGCTGAAACTTATGTGGAAGCAACCTGGGGTAGTGTAGATTCTAAATTGTTCAAATCATGACCCCCGGGGGTAGGGCGGAGCCACAATGGGGAATCAAAGTTTAACATAGAAATATATGGGAAAAATCTTTGAAAATCTTCTTTTCAAGAACAACTGGGCCAGAAAAGCTGAAACTTATGTGGAAGCATCCTGGAGTAGTGTAGATTTTAAATTGTTCAAATCATGACCCCCGGGAGTAGGGCAGGGCCACATTGGAGATTCAAAGTTTTTCATAGAAATATATTTACCGTAGGAATAATCTTTAAAAATCTTCTTCTCAAGAACTACTGGGCCGGAAAAGCTGAAACTTATATGGAAGTTTCCTGGAATAGTGTAGATTTCAAATTGTCCAAATTATGATCAGTGGGGTAGGGTGGGGTCACAATATGTATTACAAGGGGGAAATCTGGTAAAGAACAGCATGGTTAAAGCTTCTCGGGTGAGTGATATGGCCCATGGGCTTCTTGTTTTCTTATCATATAAAGGATATGACTGGGACTGGTGACCAACTTCGACATAAACGGGGTATTCGAGATATCCCATATTTGAGATACTGATATAAAGCCTTATATATATTTATTATTTCCTGTGTTTGATATGGTCTTTTTTCTTTTTAGGTGCGAAGGTCCAGGGTGAAGCCGATGGTGAAGGTCGATGATGTTCCTCAGCAGCCTGAGAAGGTGGCACTGCCTCTTCTAGAGCCTTTACAGGAGCTGCCTGTGGAGAAGCTTAGGCAGGCTGAAGAGGTGACCGAGTCATCTCCCCAACCTGTCATGGCTGATCCTGAGGCAGATCTTGTTCAGCTTGAGGAAGAGTGTCTGCCGTCTCCTGAGCCTGTCGCAGCCTTTCCTTGGCCAGAGCTTGAGCTTATCGAGGAGGTGGCGCTGCCATCACCTCAGCCGTCTCGGGTTCTGGTTGAGGAGGAGGATGCACAGACTGAGGAGGTGGAATTGCTGTCTCCCCAGGCTGTTGTGGGTCATCCTCGGCTTTCTAGCCTCGGTTCACCGGTTACAGAGACTCCTCCTGTGCAGCCATCACCTGTGAGGGAACCTGAGAGGCGAGGCTTTACAGCAGCAGGGTTGGTGCGACATTTGGTTCATACTGCGGAGGTCTCTTTAGTTAGTGGTCTCCTCCTTGTCCCTTTTGTCAGCTCCTTTATGGGCTTTAATTTCGGTTTGTAAGGTATAAAAGTAATATTTATATATTTAAATAAGAGAAAATGTTTTCTTAACTCCTAAATTTTTCTTAATGTTTTTTTCTATAAATGATGCATAAATAAAATTTTAAAGGTTAAAGCTTGAGTAAGATTTGAATTCTTAAGTCATATTGTAATTTGCATCAGGGAAATTCAGAGTTTAAAAAAGTTTAAATAAAGATCATACTAGAGTTTAAATAAGGTTTAACTAAAAGCCTACAAGAGATTGAATAATTAAATTTAAATTTAGGTCATACTAGAGTTTAAATAAGTTTATATTTAGACCATCCTAGAGTTTAAATAAGTTTAAATTTAGGCCATACCAGAATTTATATAATTAAGTTTAAATTTTGATCATACCAGTGTTTAAATAAGTTTAAATTAGACCATACTAGAGTTTAAATAAGAGTAAATTTACATCATATAGAGTTTAAATAATTAAGTTTAAATTTAGACCATATGAGAGTTTAAATATGAAGTTTAAATTAAAATTAGACCATCATAGAATTTAAATAAGTTTGAATTAAGACCATACTAGAGTTTAAATAAGTTTAAATTTAGACCATACAAGAGTTTAAATTATTAAGATTAAATATAGACGATACAATTTAATTAAGTTAAAATTTAAACCACACTACCATTTAAAATAACTAAATTAAGACCATACTAGAGATTAAATAAGATTGAATATAGACCATACGAGAATTTAAATAAGTTTCAGTTTAGCCTTATCTGCTCGTGGATACTACATCTAAATATTTCAATGCAAGCACACACTGGTATTTAGATGTAGTTATTCAGGAGAGTAACTAATTGTTAATTAATTAAGGCTTAATTTAGTTGAAAAATAGGCAAAAGTAAAATTAATTTTTTTTTTAAATTTAACAATTATAAGAGGTTAATAGTTAAATTAAGAGTTTTCCTGAATTACAATAATAAGTGATAAGCTTAAAGTTTTCCTATAACTAAAATAAGTTCGGTTTAAATTCTGCTTTATTGACTAAAACTAAGTGACTTGGTGAATTGTTTACTTTAAAGTTGACCTTTATACCAACATCATACAGGCATTGGCATTAATTTAAGTTATAATTAAAGCTTTTATAACTTAAATTCATTTCTTTAGTCCTCCTTCTTTTTGGTTTTTTGTTGATAATTGGGGTTAAATTTATTTTCTATTAAATTCAATTTTTCAGTTGGTAAATATAATGTTATTAAAGTTTTCTTAAAATAAAAGTTAATTTAATCCTAGGAATAAATTCCTGAGTTTTCATTGTAAAGAGGGTTTTTTTCCATATGTGTGCATGATGGTTTTTGTTGTTGTTGACAAATTGTATTTGATATGTTATTTTTGTACTGTGCATTTATTATATGTATATGTCGATCAGGCCCTGTTGACTGTGAATCTAAGTATATATTTGGTTTAATTAGTAGGACCCGTAATCTTTTCTACCCCTCCTCCTCCCCCCCCCCCCTCTCAACTCTTTATTTCAGTCCAACTTAAACTTTTAAGAATTAATTCCTAATGAATTATTTAGATAAAGTAAGGCCCCGTTTTCTTTCTCGCAATTTTCTCATGAAGGCATGTGGCTAAATATCTCAACTCATGCACACACCGTTATTTAGTCACTGCATTCATGAGAGTAATTAAATTTGTTATATTTAATTAATTATCCAAATCTGATTTCTAATTTTTTCTCAATTAAGTATCTATTCATTACTTTTTCAAAAATAATGTTTGGAGTTATGAAGTAGACATTTAACTATTAATTTTGACTTACTATTATGAGGTGTAAATTTGTATATCTCATGGATTCCCTGGTTTTCCATCTCGTTTTTCTACTCTCTTTAAATAATTAGTATAATATATCAGTATCAATTGCAGGAAGTGGATTTCATAATTAAATTTTCCATAAAAAATGTTGATGATTGCAGCCTAATTAAATTTATTCAATTATAATAACTGTTATAATAGCTTCTTCTCTAGGAGATGTAATTATTAGTTTGTGGTTAATGTATTTCAATGTATCGATTTAAGATTTGTAATGGAAAAGATTGTCGCTGTAAGCTTACCGATTTGAATCATTGATTAGGAATTTTATGAATTCCATCGCCGTTAAAATAAAATATAGTTTGCTCTGCGTAATGAACATTTCTGTACCTGTTGTTGTTCTGGTTCCTGTTTTTCCAAAATAAATAGACGCAAAGGGCACTTTTGATTTCTGCGCGATATCCGCTAGCCACAAACTTTTTTTGAAAATTCTGACACTTCTTATCCTTGATCAATTTAAAGCTACTGATTTCAAGCGATGGTCAATTTTGAAGTTTCCGAATTGTTGAAAACCAGTGATAATGTATTGATGTATAACATTATTATCAGTGTGTCTGTCTGTCTGTCTGTCCTAGTCTGAGAACATATCAACTGTTCATTTGATGCATGCCTTTGCTCGGATGCATATGAACTGTATTTTCATGCTACAGTGACTTTGGTTAATGAACTTAACATTTCGATTTATCCTCTCCTTCTTACAAGCAGTGAAACCAATTTGTACTTGCATGATGTTTCTATGGATACTTCCTCTGATGCTGCACCTGACACACATGTCTTGATTTATTGGCTCGGAGTATTTTCATTATTTTAGATTGGTTTCAAACTGATCTTGTTCTTTATTGTGTGTCTCTGGATGCTGACTCTGATGCTCATTTTGGATGCATCTGATCTACATTTCTAATGCTGTACTAGCCCAGAGCTCAGATCAGATTTTCATTACTTAGATTAGTTCCAAACTAATTTAGTTCTTTATTGTGCATCTTCGGGTGCTGACTTTGATGCTTACTTTGGATGCTTCAATTCTGGCCTACATTTCTTCAGTATTGGCTCAGAGCTTAGATTATTTTCATTATTTAGATTTCAGTTCCAAACTGATCTAGTTCTTTATCATGTATCATAGGATGCTGAGCGACTCTGATGCTTTCTTTGGATGCATGCTGCACCTGACCTATATATTTTACACCTGTCCAGTGTATTGCCTATATTCCTGGCACAGTCTCCTGGAAACAGAACTGCTCTTACGCTGCCTCTTGCAATGTTGCATCTACTGCATACATTGAATGCTACATTTCAACTATATAATATATGTGATCAGGAGAAATTTAAGATTTAAGTGCTTTCTTTTTTCCCATTAGAAAAAAATCTCTATAGAGTATTTGAATTAAAGCATTATATGTATTGTGCTTTTCTGACATTTTTTTGACAAGTGTATTTTTTTATTTTGTATTTGCATATTGTTCAAATTGTCTTTTTTTATAGTGTTCATTGTTTTCAATATGGCTCAGAGCTCAGAGTAATATAATTATTTAGATGTCTGTTCCAAACTGATCTAATTCTTTATCGTGTATCTTTGGATGCTGACTCTGATGCTTATTTTGGATGCTGCATCTGACCTACATTTCTTGATTTATTGGCTCAGAGCTCAGATTATTTTCATTATTTTAGATTTATTAAGTTCCTAACTGATCTAATTCTTTATCGTGTATCTTTGGATGCTGATGACTCTGATGCTTACTTTGGATGCTGCATCTGGCCTACATTTCTTGATTTATTGGCTCAGAGCTCAGATTATTTTCATTATTTAGATCACTTCTAAACTGATCTAGTTCTTTATCGTGTATCTTTGGATGCCCACTCTGATGCTCACTTTGGATGCTGCACCTGACCTATATATTTTACACCTGTCCAGTGTATTACCTATTCCTGGCACAATCTCCTAGAAGAACTGCTCTTATGCTGCCTCTTACAATGTTGCATCTGCTGTATACATTGAATGCTACATTTAACTCATATGTTAGATGTAATCAGGAGAAATTCAAGATTTAGGTGCCTCCTTTTTTCCATTAAAAAGAATTCTCTATACAGTATTTGAATTATAGCAATATATGTGTTGTGTTGTTCTAACATTCCTCTGACAGGTGTATTTATTTGAATTTTGTATTTGTATATTGTTCAGTGTTTGATTTATACTGTGTTCATTGTTTTCAATATTGTTTAATGTTTGAATGTCCCATCTGCACACACAACTGTTTATCCGTCCACCACCCTCGCCTCGCCTCAGCAGCTCTGTCCAGACATAGATGTAAAGTGAGTGGTTTTGTTTTCAATATTTAGGGCCCGCTATGATGATGATCAGTTTGTCCGTCTGTCTGATATTCTTACCCAGAGTACATTATCTCGACTTGGCTCAATCTGGTTTAAACTTGATCCAGTTTTCTAAGTAATTAAGAGGTCAAAGTAAAAAGCACATCTGCATGTAATCCTCTCTCATTTTAGCCCTTTGTGGCTTGTACTTTACCTATATATAATGCTAAGTAGTAAAAGATGTGCAGTAACGAACAGCTAGCTTCTTGATCAGAGAAGTCAAGATCTTGTCATCTTTATCTAGTGAGCACATTTCTCTCATTTTAGCCCTTTTTGGCTTGTACTTCACTTATCTATAGTGTCAAATGGTAAAGGGTGTGCAGTAACGAACAGCTAGTTTATAGGTCGGAATTCAGGGTCTTGTCATCTTTATTTAGTGAGCACACATTTCTCTCATTTTAGCCCTTTTTGGCTTGTACCTCACTTATGTATAGTGTCAAATAGTAAAGGGTGTGCAGTAATGAACAGCTAGTTTCTAGGTCAGGATTCAAGGTCTTGTCATCTTTATCATATTCAGAATATTTCTCTTTGTAGAGTCTTTGTCATGAACCAAAGGTCAGTGGTAAACATAATTTCTGTTTACATAAAATCTCCAAGGTTGATGGTTGGATGTACTTTTTATCCAACAGAGTTAGTATTATTTATACCAAGCCTTGGCTCTATTCAACTCATATTGACTGGTCAGGTTTCAAGGTCATAGCAGACACCTGTGTGAAATTATTGTCATGGTCATTTTTTTGTGTTCCCTTGAGCTTCATCTTGTACGTCTTGCAGAGTGCCTGAGTGGATTGCAGGTGCAAGTCAAATGTCAAGGTCCTTTACAGTGCCCTCTCATCCCTTATCCTTTAGTATAGCATGGCCCTTTGAGATGGGCACCAACTCATTGATGTTTAGATGTATACACAACATCATGGTGTTGGGGTTCACCTCATACATACCAAAAAAAAAAAAAAAACTTCCAAAAAAAACACAAAAAATCAAAAATACAAAAAAAAATTTATAGTTGAACTTTGGTATCTCGAACATTGATATGTCTTAAATCATGGGTATGTTAAAGTGATTTGAAAGTACTTACCCCTATCCTTACAGTAATTTACCCTGGATATTTGGAATCCTAAGATTTCTTGTAATTTTGAAATGGTCCCTTTGGGTTCGAGATTAAAAGGTTTGACGTTATATTTATATGTATATATATATATATTTATTTAATCTTGCAGATCGATGGAAAAGCAGCATTTAATCTTACAGAGACATGGACAAGCAGTGTTTGATCTTACAGTTGTAGGGATTAGCAGTGTTTAATTTATCAGTTGTAGGGACGTGAAACAGTAATTAATCTATCAGAAGCAGGGTCATGAAGCAGTAATTAATCTTACAGTAGCAGGGACAAGCAGTGTTTAATCTTACAGTTGCCAGGACAAGCAGTAATTAATCTTATAAAAGCAGGGACATGCATGAAGCAGTAATTAATCGTACAGTTGCAGGGATGTGAAGCAGTAATTTAATCTTACAGTTGCAGGGACAAGCGGAGTTTAATCTTACAGTTGCAGGGATGTTAAGCATTAATTTAATCTTACAGTTGCAGGGACGTGAAGCAGTAATTCAATCTTACAGTTGCAGGGACGTGAAGCAGTAATTTAATCTTACAGTTGCAGGGATCATGTGAAGCAGTAATTTGATCTTACAGTTGCAGGGACGTGAAGCAGTAATTTAATCTTACAGTTGTGGGGACGTGAAGCAGTAATTTAATCTTACAGTTGCAGGGACGTGAAGCAGTATTTAATCTTACAGTTGCAGGGACGTGAAGCAGTAATTTGATCTTACAGTTGCAGGGACGTGAAGCAGTAATTTAATCTTACAGTTGCAGGGACGTGAAGCAGTAATTAATCGTACAGTTGCAGGGACGTAAAGCAGTAATTTAATCTTACAGTTGCAGGGACAAGCAGTATTTAATCTTACGTTGCAGGGATGTAAAGCAGTAATTTAATCTTACAGTTGCAGGGACGTGAAGCAGTAATTAATCATACAGTTGCAGGGACGTGAAGCAGTAATTAATCTTACAGTTGCAGGGACGTGAAGCAGTTATTAATCGTACAGTTGCAGGGATGTAAAGCAGTAATTTAATCTTACAGTTGCAGGGACAAGCAGTATTTAATCTTACGTTGCAGGGATGTAAAGCAGTAATTTAATCTTACAGTTGCAGGGACGTGAAGCAGTAATTAATCGTACAGTTGCAGGGATATGAAGCAATGATTAATCTTACAGATGAAGGGACAAGATTTAATCTTACAGTTGCGGGGACAAGCAGTAATTAATCTAAAAGTTGCAGGGACGTGAAGCAGTATATAATCTTATAGAAGCAGGGATGTAAAGCAAATTTAATCTTATAGTTGCAGTGTTATGAAGCAGTATATAATCTTACAGAAGCAGGGACGTTAAGCTGTAATTAATCTTACAGTTCCAGGGACATGAAGCAGTAATTAATTGTACAGTTTCAGGAATGTGAAGCAGTAATTTATCTTACAGAAGCAGGGATAAGTAGTAATTAATTCTACAGATGCAGGGACAAGCAGTACACAATCTTACAGAAACAGACACAAGCAGTACATATCAACAGAAACAGAGACAAGCAATTGCAAATATTACAGAGGCAGGCTCTACAAAAACACATGTAGCACACAATCATACAGAGACAAGCAGTACACAATCACACAGAGACAAGCAAGACAAACACAGATACAGGGACAAGCAGCCAACAATCTCACAGAAGCAAAAACACAATCCTACATAAACAGAGTCAGGCAGCAAACAAACAGAAGCAGGGACAAGCAGCTCACAATCTGAGAAAAGCAGAGACAAGCAGTACACCAACCTACTGATACAGAGACCTACACAATGTACAGAAGAAGAGACAAGCAACACACAATCCTACATCAATCCTACAGAATTTAGCAAGGACAAACAGCAAACAATCTTAAAGAAACAGAGACAAGCAGCACACAATTCTACAGAAGTAGAGACAAGCAGCACACAATTCTACAGAAACAGAGACGAGCAGCACACAATCCTACAGAACTAAAGGCTAAGCAACACACAATTCTACAAAAACAGAGACAAGCAGCACAAAATCCTATGGAAGCAGAGAAGAGCAGAACACAATCTTACAGATCTATGCAAAGGCAAGCAACAAACAATCCTACAGAAGCAGAGAAAAGCAGGATACAATCTTACAAAAGGTAAGAAAATCAACATGAAATCCTAAAGAAACAGAGACAAGCAGCACACAATCCTACAGAAAGAGAGACAAGCAACACACAATCCTACAGAAAGAGAGACAAGCAGCACACAATCCTACAGAAAGAGAGACAAGCAGCACACAATCCTACAGAAAGAGAGACAAGCAGCACACAATCCTACAGAAAGAGAGACAAGCAGCACACAATCCTACAGAAGCAGAGTTGAGCAGCACACAATCTTACAGAAGCAGAGCCGAGCAGCACAATCCTACAGAAGGAAAGATAAGCAGCACTCAATCCTACAAAGCAGAGACAAGCAGCACACAGTCTTACAGAAGCAGAGACAAGTAGCACACAATCTTGCAGAAACAGAGACAAGCAGCACAAAATCTTACTGAAGCAGGGACAAGCAACACACCTACAGAAGCTGAGAGTAGCACATCCTACAAAAGCAGAGACGAGCAACACGCAATATTATAGAAACAGAGTGAAGCAGCACACAATCTTACAAAAGGAGGGACAAGCAACATAAAATCCTACAGAAACAGGGACAAGCAATGCAAAATCTTAATGAAGCAGAGACAAGCAACAAGCAATCTTACAGAAACAGGTACCACAGAATCAGAGACAAAACTTAAGCAGTGAGAAGCAGCACAAAATCTTAGGGAAACGGAAACAAACAACACACAATCTTGGAGAAAGAGAGAAGCAGCACACAATCCTACAAAAAAAAGAGACAAGCAGTACACAATCCTATTGAAGCAGAGAAGAGCAGCACATGATCCTACAAAAACAGAGACAAGCAGCACACAATCCTACAAAAACAGAGACAAGCAGCAAACAATCTTACAGATCTATGCAAAAGCAAGCAACAAACAACCCTACAGAAATAGATAGCAGCACACAATCTTACAAAAGGTGGGACAAGCAACATGAAATCCTATCCTTATTTACAAGCAGCAAACAATCCTCCAGAGTCAGGGACATGCAACAAACAATTTTACAGAAGTAGAGACGAGCAGCACACAATCCTACAAAAGCAGAGACAAGCTGCACACAATTCTACAGAAGCAGGGACAAGCAACACACAATCTTACAGAGACAAGCAACACACAATCTTACAGAGACAAGCAACACACAATCTTAAAGAGACAAGCAACACACAATCTTAAAGAGACAAGCAACACGCAATCTAAAAGAGACAAGCAACACACAATCTTACAGATACAAGCAACACACAATCTTAAAGAGACAAGCAACACGCAATCTAAAAGAGACAAGCAACACACAATCTTACAGAGACAAGCAACACACAATCTTACAGAGACAAGCAACACACAATCTAAAAGAGACAAGCAACACACAATCTTACAGAGACAAGCAACACACAATCTTACAGAGACAAGCAACACACAATCTAAAAGAGACAAGCAACACACAATCTTACAGAGACAAGCAACACACAATCTTACAGAGACAAGCAACACACAATCTAAAAGAGACAAGCAACACACAATCTTACAAATGCAGAGACACAATCCTATAGAAGCAGAAGCAAGCAGCACACAGTTCTACAAAAGCTGGGACAAGCAGTACAGAGAGCTGGGGAGGGGTAAGATCACAATTTTTTTCTCCATACACTCTGAGGGATTCAAATATTTTCTTGATGAAGTCTGATTTTTCCTCTACACATTTTGTTTGAACCAGTAGAGAGACCGGAAACCATCTTTCAGAGCAGACGGCCATGCTTCAGCTAGAGTGCCAAGAGTAAGGATGAGCAGTGGCCTAATCTAGAAGTGAGGGTAACACAAAGTCTTCTTTGTATATCCTTGATTCATCGGCTTCTATATCTCACATTTGTTTTACTTGTTATGTAATTGTATCCCTGTCTCTTATAAATCCCAACATTTTTATCTCATGATTTTAACCTTTGAATTTGACATACTTTTGAAAAACTTCAATCTTTGCGCTAGGTTTTCAAAGGTTGTAGTTAGGGCTTTTCACGTTTTAAATTCCTTGTGCCATGCATATGGATGGGGCATATAGAGTTTGTTATGTCCGTCCAGTTATACACAAATTTTTGTACTCAAAGTACATGTACTTTCAAAGTACATTTCGCACTGAAAATTTTCCAAGACATTCTGAACTATAACTTTACATTCTCATGAAAAAATAATTAATTTAATGTATATATTAATCAATAATTATGTTAGAATAAACACAAAATAAATGTCATTTGTTATGAGTTTAACATAAGCATGGTGAAACATTTTAATTTAGAAATTAGATTAATTTGGTTATTTAAACATTTTGCAGATGTAATTTAGACAGAATGGAGCCAATGGTACCCACGGAGACCAAGTAAAGGTTGTAATTTGATCTTATAAGCCAGACATCAGGTGAGTGTATTTGTTCTTTTATGTGTATTTTTGTTCCTAGTGTCTCTCCCCTTCCCTTTCTTACTTACAATACTAATATCACTAACTTTTTGCCCTTTTCATTCATAGTTGCTTGTTTCTCTTAAATATGTAATTGAGACATGTTTTTGTTTGAGAATCATACATTACAAGGTACGCTTTCAATTGTTTTGGAACTATACTAATCCTGTGTTAGTTTCTACCATTATCAAGGGCACAAGAAGGGATGGAAAGATGGCAGCAGATACCACATTGAGGAAGAGGAGATTATTGCAAGGGTTCAGGGTATCCATTATAACAATATTCCAACATTGGCCAAAGCGGTAAGAAATGTAATATTTTTTGCAATTTTGATTTTGATTTTCTAGTTTCACTTTATTTAAGTCTTGTAGTAATTCTAGTTTGACTCTTGACTCTACATGTTAACAGAAATATAGTCAATTTCAATATAAAGAATGGCAATGCTACAACACTACTTCAGAAGAAGTGTCCAGGGAGTTGGGATCAATTTAAGCCAACTACTGAATAACCAGTAAGGTACATTGATTTCATTTCTTCTGCTAATAATCTTAACTGTTGTAAACGGAACTTTCTTTGACCTGAAATCTCAGTATCCATATAAGCAATCAATATTACCAAGAGTTAAGATAAAGTGTGTGTGTCACCTGACCTTTTAGATGACAGCAGATAGAAGTAGATGCCAAAATGTGGAATACCACAAAATGACAAGGAGGCCATTACCAGGATACAGATTATCCACTACGTCAACAAGCCAACATTGACCAAGATGGTTAAAACATTCTGCATTGGGGGACCATACAAGGAAGAAGAGTACCCAAGGAGGGAGATGGCCACAAAAGGAAGGTGATGACCATGCAAAGGAAGAGGAACACATGAAGAAAAAGTAAAGGATTACACAAGGAGGAAGAAGATCATTTATGGAAGAAGAGGACCACTCAAGGAATAGGAGGACCACTGCCAGGATTCACTATACTTACTTGCAGATGGCCATCCCCCACCCCACCCCCAGTTTTACTGGAACTCTCTTATGTTCCCTGGTAGAAAAGTAAGGGAAAGGTTGAAACTAATTGAAGCAATGAAATATAACAAACTCCCCTTTGCTATGGATTTATAGTTACACTCATACTCAAAACATCTTTGATCCTTTTATACCAGTTGAGAGATGTTATATGTATGTTTAGCTATGTTCATCTTCAAAAGTTTTATTTGAATTAATTGCATCCTTTAATGGCAGTCTTTCAGGCACACAATTGTAAACTTCTAATTGGTTCTGCTTTTCCATTCAAAAGCTCCATGTAGAGTGAGACAGAAAAATTCTGTTTTCATTTGTTTCTGAGCTAGGGTACTTCTTGCAACTCTGCAAATTCTTTTTGATTGCCAAGCTAATGGTAAAAATTATCCATTTTTTCTAGTCCCTCCTTCTGGTAAGTTTCTAAGGGAGGATTCACTGAAGATGTTAAATCTGACTTTTCTGGCCCAATTTTAGGAAGCCTCAGCAATACTGATTCTGACTGTTTTTGATGATCTAATTAGCATCACCTAACATCTGAATGTTGGCTTTCTTTAGAGAGGACACAAGATTCAAAGCATCAAAAATCACAGCAGGTCTACTTTGTTTGGCAATCTGTAGAATTTGCCCTATCTAAGATTGAAGGATTTCTTTTTGCATTAGAGTGAGTCCTAATTCTCTTTTCAGTGAGGTGATTCTTACCTACTGGAATGAACTATAGATTGTTTTGATACTTTTCTGACTAAGCTGAATGGTTTGCTTGTGTCTTGACAATTGTATTCCAACATATATGGAAAATTAGCCATTTTCTTCATAATCTTCTTTTACCACACAGAATGTTGATCTGTGACTATTTGATGGATTACAGTGTTTTCAAATTCACATGATCCTCCCCAAAGAAAGTATCAAAATGGCATGCTAGCACTCCTTATTCTTTCCTCTCTTTGTTCTCCCAGAAAAAAATGGCTGGATCAACTTGCGAAACTTCAACACTCATACTCAAAACATCTTTGATCCTTTTATACCAGTTGAGAGGTGCATCAGAAAGTCCATATACACATTTTCATAGTTGCCAACATACCAGGGCTATCGGCTTCAGGAGGTGGTCTGACATATATCTCTCGTTCAATTTCTGATTCCATGTAAAAAAAGCAGTTTTGATGTCCATAGTATGAAAATTCCAATTCCTATGTGATTAAAGATTGTACCAGTGGAAGGGAATCTGAACCATAGGTTGGTGAATCCTTAGGTATGTCATCCTTGTCTACCTCTTCAAAACCTCTTGCCACGAGACTTGCTTTCTGCATTGTACCTTCTGCTGTATCCCTCAAACTGCAAATCTATTTTGTTGAGATGCACTTTTGTCCTTCGTCTTTTTTTTTTTCAATGTACTTATTATTAGTATTCCTTTTTCAAGCTCATTCTCTTAAGCTTCTTTGAATTTCACATATGTAAGAACAATTACATTGTCCTCTTGTGTAATATCATCATTCTCTTCTGTGCACTGAATGTCTGTTTCTGATGTTTCCAGTACCTGTACTTTACCAAGATCAACAGAAATTGCTATATCCTTTTGTGACTCAGATTCCATAAATTTGAAGTTAAACAAGTTTCAGTTTGTTCCTGTTGCCTTGCCTGCACATCCAAGTTCTTTTGCAACACATTTTCCACCACTTTCTGAATTTTTATACTTTACAATTTGCCACTTTGGAATTTTTATTGTGCCACTGAATTCATTTCTAATGCCAATTTTGTCCATTTCCTCAGCTTCACTGCAAGCAGAGTCTTTGCTCTCAATGCTATTGTCTAATTGTTCCTTTTCATCTTTTTCCTTCTGTTATTGGCTTTCCTGTACATCATTAGAAACGTACTTGCTTTTACTTCTGTCTGTAGAAACTATAGTCAGTGTACATTGGTGCAGTCTTGCACATATTCCTCCCTGTCTAACAAAAACTACTGTCTTGTCCAATTACATCACCTGGACCCCTCTATTCCCTGCTGTCTGATCTTTTATAAAATACTTTATCTCCGGTCTTGAAAGTGTTTATGCTTGGAGGAATCTGTTTTCTTAAGGCTCTTTGAAACCTCTGTGAACATTCAATCTTTGTAAATGTCATTCTGGCTGAGTGTAAAGCTTTAATGTGTTTTCCTACCAATGCACTCATGGCAGTCCCCTCAAGGGCTTGTACCTTTTCCGTCAAAGCACTAGGAAGATGTGGATTACTTCCAAACACTAACTTGTGAGAGCTGAATCCATGTACATTGTTCAAAGCATTTTTTGCCATAAGCACCAAGCTTACTATCCCAGTCACAGCTTGTTGAGATGCTTTTATATCCATTGTCTTTTCCTTCAATGTACACATTATTAATTTTCCTTTTTCAAGCTCTTTCTCTTTAGCTTCTTTGGATTTCACATCATCAAGAACCATTATATTGTCCTCTTTTGTAATATCATCATTCTCTTCTGTACACTGAATGCCTGTTTCTGATATGTTTCCAGTTCCTATACTTTACTAATATTAACAGAAATTTCTCATTCTGTTTGTGACTCAGGTTACATAAATTTCAAGTTAAACCAGTTTCAATTTATTCCTGTTGCCTTGCCTGCATGTCCAAGCCTTTTGCTAAACATTTTCCACCACTCTGCATTTTTATACTTTACAATTTGACCCTTTGAAATTTTTATTGTGTCACTGAGGTCATTTCTAAGACAAATTTTGTCCATTTCTTCAGCTTCACTGCAAGCAGAGTCTTTGGTCTCAAAACTATTGTCTAATTTTTCCTTCTCATCTTTTTCCTTCTGTTATTGGCTTTCCTGTACGTCATTAGAAACTGACTGGCTTTCACTTCTGTCTGTAAAAACTTTAGTCAGTCTTCATTGGTTCATTCTTACACATATTTCTCAATGTCTGACAAAAACTACTGCAACGTCTTGTCCAATTATCACACCTGGACCCCTATATTTCCCTGCTGTCTTATATAAAATACTTCATCTCCAGTCTTGAAAGTGTTTCCGCTTGGAGGAATCTGTTCTTAAGGCGCTTTAAACCCTCTGTGAACATTCAATCTATGTAAATGCCATTCTGGCTGAGTGTAAAGCTTTAATGTGTTCTCCTACCAATGCGCTCATGGCAGTCCCCTCAAGGACTGGTAGCTTGTCCATCAAAACACTAGAAAGATGTGGATAACTATCAAACACTAACTGGTGAGAGTTGAATCTATGTACATTGCTCAAAGCATTCTTTTCCATAAGCACCAAGCAAACTATCCCAGTCTCAGCTTGTTGAGATGCACTTTTGTCCATTGTCTTTTCTTTCAATGTACACATTAATTTTCCTTTTTCAAGCTCTTTTTCTTAAGCTTCTGTGAATTTTACATCTGCAAGCAGAGTCTTCACTTTCAATTCCAATTGTCTAATTGTTCCTTTTCTTATTTTTCCTCCTGCAATTGGCTTTCCTGTACATCACTAAAAACTGACTGGCTTTCACATCCATCTGTAGAAACTTTTGTCGGTGTACATTGGTGCACTCTTACACATATTCCTCCATGTCTGACAAAAACTACTGCACCATCTTGTCCAATTACCACACCTGAACCCTTCCATTCCCTGCTGTTTGGTCTCTTAAAAAATACTTCAACTCCAGTCTTGAAAGTGTTTCCACTTGGACAAATCTGTTTTCTTAAGGTGCTTTGAATCCTCTTTGAGCATTCATTCTATGTAAATGCCATTCTGGCTGAGTGTAAAGCTTCAATGTGCTTTCCTACCAATGCACTCATCCGATGGTAGTCCCCTCAGGGACTGGTACCTTGTCCATGAAAACACTAGGAAGATGTGGATTACTTCCAAACACTAACTGAGCTGAATCCATGTACATTGTTTGTTGAAAGCATTCTTTTCCATAAGCACCAAGCTAATTTTCTCAATTACAGCTTGTTGAGATGCCTTTTTATCCATTGTCTATTCTTTCAATGCACACATTACTTTTCTTTTTTCAAGCTCATTCTCTTAAGCTTCTTTGAATTTCACATCTGTAAGAACCATTACATTGTCCTCTTGTGGTATATCATCATTCTCTTCTGTACACTGAATATCTGTTTTTGATGTTTCCAATTCTTATAATTTACTAGGACCAACAGAAATTGCTGCATCCTTTTGTGACTCAAGTTCCATAAATTTGAAGTTAAACAAGTTTCAGTTTGTTCCTATTGCCTTGCCTGCACATCCAAGTCCTTTAGCTACACATTTTCCACCACTCGGCATTTTTTATACTTTACAATTTGACCCTCTGAAATATTTATTGTTTTACTGAAGTCATTTCTAATGCCAATTTTGTCCATTTCCTCAGCTACACTGCAAGGAGAGTCTTCACTTTCAATTTGAATTGTCTAATTGTTCCTTTTCTCATCTTTTTCCTCCTGTGATTTGCTGTCCTGTACATCATAAGAAACTGACTCACTTTTACTTCTGTCTGTAGAAACTTTTGTCAGTCTACATTGGTGCACTCTTACACATTTTCCTCCATGTCTGACAAAAACTACTGCACCATCTTGTCCAATTACCATGTGTGGACCCCTCCATTCCCTGCTGTCTGGTCTCTTATAAAATACCTTATCTCTAGTCTTGAAAGTGTTTCCAATCTGATGAATCTGTTTTCTTATGGCTCTTTAAACCCTCTGTGAACATTCAATATATGTAAATGCCATTCTGGCTGAGTGTAAAGCTTTAATGTGTTCTCCTGCCAATGCACTCATGGCAGTCCCCTCAAGG